AGAGAAAGTTCTTGAAGGCTTAATTCAGCTCTCCTATCTCCCTACCACTAATCAACTTGCTGATGTTCTCACCAAGATTCTGCCTGCTGATAAGTTTCAGATTTTGTTGTCCAAGCTGGGCATGGTTTCTCCTACACCCAGCTTGAGGGGGGGTGTGAAGGATCAAGCTGCGCAGTCAGCTTACACTTCTAACCACTTAGTGCCACCTGTCATTTCTAACTAATTTCCCTTGTTTTTTGGACTTTCTGTTTGATTAGTTATGGTAGTTTATATAGCTAGTTTCTTCCTCCCCGTTAGGGCAGATTTTCAGAGACACATTTGAGCTTCAGTTTAATGGAATTTTCCTGCGTTTGTTTTACAATTTCATCTTCTCCAATGAAATTTAACAGCCTATTGAAAAGCACTTGCCTTAGTAGTGCCGATCAAAGCTACTTGTCCGGACTAGGACAATTCACATGTTATCCTTTCATGAGTATAAGGATACGATACAACCATTTTTCAAGAGACTTATATGCTCACTAATCATAGACAAATTGCACATTATATAGAGGTTATATGCTCAATAGCCAGAAATGAGTTGCTCAGTAAGTGCAATAACATTACATGCCAGTGACACATATGTATACATACTACCAACTAGTGTTGGGTCAAAATAACTGAGAGAAAGGATGAACACATAACTTCTCCCATTAGAAAAATGGGTACCACTTTTAGAAGGCATGATAGCGGTAGACCTAAATACTACGAAGTATCTTGTTGTGTGCATTAACCTAATTCCATTACTGGGGATTCTTTTCTGACTAAATAATTACCATCAATACCTTGGATGGAGTGTTTGTAATCGTGCACACGGGGTAAACCTTAGGAGCTGGTTTTGGTTGGCATTCATAACATTCTGTTTTTCCCTTCACGTGGACAGTTACCTGCCAATGCCAGAATCCAAAGCAACACGAATTGTAGAACAAACATGGGTCGTCTTTTTTGAGCAATGAGGCATAAAATATGCATATGAGTGACTTTACAACCATCCAACAGTTTTTTTATGCACTATTTGGGAAGTTAAATTCAGACTTGATCTAAACACGTTTGAGAATCCAAAACAAATGGATTTAGGCCATTATTTTCTGACTCTCAACAAATCCGAATTGCAAATCCATACATTGGCCTTGTAATTTGAAATCAAAGAGTTCATATCTATACCTACATTAGAGAAATCCAAGGGAAATGGCGATTGAGTGTAAGAAAACAAGAGTGGAAGAAGTAAGTCGTTAGGCTCTGGGTGGAACAAAAAAAAAACCCCCCAATTAAGCAGCGTTACCTGTCCCAAGAAACCAGTTGTCCCACTGTCAACCAATGGGACACCGGCAGCCAAGCAAAGCCGGTTCACATGTCGCCGACCAACTAGATTGTCAAGTCCATTCAGAACAACATTGAATTGCTTAAAGAAATCCACATTGAACTCAGTGTCTAAAACATTTGCATGGTAAGCTGTCACTTGTATTCCAGGCCTAAATTTCAAAATGGCATCCCTCGCAACCTGGGTTATAATTGGTCAAATCAGTATATCGAATATAATGGGGAAAAAAAACAGCCTCAAATCTCAATAGTAGGGGATGGCAATTTGGCATAGCTTGTAATGGTCGAATATTTTCAACAAAAATGCTACTTGTAAACCCCCAAATTTTAATTCCATGAATATGTTTTTAGTCTCTTATAATATAAGTGAATTTTGTTTTTGACACCTGTGTTTAGGGGTGGGTTTGGAAAACCGAAAACCGCAAACTAAACCGAAATCACTCGAAACAAGCTAGAAAGAAAAACATATCGAAAGAATCAAAACCGAATGTAATAAAACCAAATCGAACCCTTATTGTTTGGTTTTTGGAAAACCGAACCTTAGTATTTTTACAATTTTTATAATTTTTAATCACCGCCTTAGTATTTTTTCAATTTTTTAATGCTTATAAATTTTTATTTTTATAAACCGAAAAAACCGAAATAGTCTTCCATGTCACAATATTTATTTATTTTGAAAATAGTCCGTAAACATAATTTACAATTCTAATTATTTGAGATAACACATTTATTTCGTACTTAGCATAACCCTTCCATGTCATAGATCTTCTTCTTTATTGAAGTACATTCCCCGATTTTAAAATTTGATTATACTATATCCCTATAATATTTGGGAAATAGAGATGTAAGATAAATAAGAATACAATTTAGAGCATGAGAATTGTATTGGAGGTGGTAAAAATGCAAGATTATGATATTTAGTATGAAATAAATGTACTAGAAATACAAATTATATTTAAGGATCATTTTCAAAATTCAAACATGTGCAAGAATGACTTAACAAAAAAATATTTTACAAGGGTCAAAAACAAAAATTGTTTATTTTACAAGGACCATGCAAAAACATAGTTAACACTTTCAATTTTAACCTCAGACACATACATTAAAAACATATAGTATATTATCGTATCTATAAATAAAATGGTTGAAAAGTGGCTTCGAAATTGGGGTCTCCCAAGCATAATTTTATTTTCAAACCACTGATGATGTCACGCAGTATTATTTAAACATTTTCATTTTACCCATTAAAATTATTTAATACCACATCGTTTTAAAACTAGATAATAGTATGTTATACCAATATCTGAAAGGGCGCCAACCCTGTTGTTGATGTGCGAAAGATAAGGATTTTTTATAACTAATCTAACAATTATTCAACTCAAAATTTGATAAGTTTTATTAAATTTAATGAAACAATAATTATTCTAAGTAAAATTTAATAATATGAGATCTTCGAGTTCTTAGAACAAGACGTGAGGTATCTTGGAGTAAGCTTAAAAATAGTCATGTGTGATCTTGTTTGATTCGTCTTAACATATAGATTATTAATATATAATTTGTATAATTTTTTAATATACAAAATACAAGATAAAATAGATTAAAGAAGTGTATTGGATGGTGTGCCAAAAGGTAGGTGGACAAACACAGTGGGACGGAGGGAGTAATATTTTAAATATATCAAGATATGATACTAATTTTATTTATTTAACAATAAAAATTTAAAATTTAACAGTAATAAATTAAAATTGGACAAACACACTACGCTGGAGTTACTTTTACCATTTAGTTAGGAGTAGATACGGGTCATGGCAGTTTGAAATTTAGAAATCCCCTAAATGGGACTAAAAATAGAGAAAAGTATCAAAATAGAATTTTCATGTTTTTTTCCCTGAAATAGAACTTTGCACTGTGGTAATGTGATTTTGTCATGTTGTAATGTGGTAGTATATGTGCAAATTACTATACTTTTTTGGTAATGTATATGACCATATATGGTAATGTAAGTCCTATTTCAGGAATAAAAACATGGAAATCCTATTTAGGTATATTTTCAATGTTTTAGTCCTACTTTGATCTTTTTTCCTTTTTTTCTTTTGCACCAAAATACTTCCACTTTCTATTAAAAAACTAATTTTATTCCTACTTTTTTTACCTTACCTATTACATCATATTTTTTTTCTAATCATCTAAACGTTACTTTTTACTTTTATCCATCATATCAAGGATACAATTAAAAGTCAATTGCAATTTAATACTTTTAAATTTGGAATTTGATCAAAATGGGAAAGATTTTCCCTCGGAGTATGGAATAAATTCCTCTGGTGAAACAAACCACTCTCCTAAGAAGAATGGGTGAAATGGGAGGAATTCCCTCAGTCGGACCTTTTTGGGAAGTAATTTCCTCGTTCAGACTTTCGCATGTAATACATGCAATTTTTTTAATTATATTCCGTAATTAGCTAACACCAATTTGGCTGGCAACCATCCTCCCACCCACCCCTATTTCGCATGTAATACATGCATTCTTTTTAAATTTTGTTTTGTACTTGGCTGGCAATCATCCTTCATAACATAACTAAAAATAAAGAATGAAAACTCACTAAAATACTACACCTAACATAAATAGGAATATGAAGGTGACTGAAATACAAAGACTATTATAACTAATACTATCATCCCTGCTAGGTGAGCTAAGCTCGTCGTGTAATGCTTCAAAATACACCTTAAAAGTTTTGTTGAATTATTATTCAATTAAACAAATTATTTTGATTAAAATAAATTATTGTTGGATCTTGGGTCGAAATAAAATATGTTTTGATATCCAATAACACAAATTGGATAAATCTCATGGATATAAATCCAAAATGTAACTGTATGTGCCATCTTGATTGAGAACGAGAGTACAAATCCAAATCAAAAATAAATAAAGAATTTGATTTATGATGTTAACTTATGAAATGATTTATTGAAATCAATCACAAGAATAAATAATATGAATTGAATATGAAAATTTTTTGAATAAAATATTTATTAAAATAATTTTGACTCTGTCAAAGTCAAACACTTAAAAATATGATGTCGGAAAAAGTATTATAAATAAATATAAATATTATATAGTTGAATAGAGTTTGATTGTCTGACCGCAACAGTATAGTTGGAATTTAATTTGAAGAAAGTTGGACCAAAAAGTGTACCCCGACTGAGATCAAATTAGTCCCAATCAGGAAGTGGCGTGTAAAATCCTACGAACCGCCGTCATGCGCACTATGTAAGCTATTGTTATGAACCAATAACTCGTAAGGATAATTCTGATTGAATATGTTTGTGTGCATATCTTGACTAAATGATGATAGTAAATGATTAAGGCTATTTAGAAAAACTCTAAAATAGACCTCTTATGACCAATTTAGTTAGGCATTGGGGGTATGATGCCTGGTGGCCAGGGTTAAAACGTACATATGGGATCTGATCCGATAGTGAGTACTCCGTTGTTCGGTTTTCTACCTTAAGCTTATTATAGTTTAAGAGTTTGGTTATTGCCTGCCTTAAACTTATTATAGTTTAAGAGTTTGGTTATTATCTGCATTAAATTAATTATAGTTTAAGAGTCAGGTTATTATTTGCCTTAAACTAGTTATAGTTTAAGATTCTGGTTAATAAAATAAAATATCCTTAAACTAATTATAGTTTGGGAGTCTGGTTAATCAAATCAAATAGCCTTATATGGAGGCGAGATTGCATGGATAGATGTGAAGGTTTTGAACTGTTATTTCAAAAGAAATAAATCAATTATGTTTTGTGATTGTGATTGATTAAGCTTACGCAACATTGAAAACTACGTATTTTTTCTATCTTGAATTATATTATTGTGATATATAAAAGTTTAGGTTTGAAAGGTTTTAAATTTTACGATTACGAAATTATAAAAAATTCTTCCAACAAAATTATTAAAAAATACTCCTGTTCTAAAATACTTCCTCTTTTATTTTTTCTACTTCTAACAAAACACTTCTACTTTTATTAAAAAACTACTTTTGATGGGTATATCCCTATACCCAACCCGGACAACCGAAAGGGACAGGTCAAAATATGACCGGTCACTTTTATCAATCACCAAATGAGGTTAACTCTTCGATTGGGACGGGTCAAAAGTTGACCGGTCACTTCCACTAAAAAAGTGACCGGTCACATTTTGGGCGATAGCCAAAATATCACCTAATGTTGTGAAGAATTCAAGAAGACCAAAGAGACGGGTTGAGCTCAAGAAATGACCGGTCAACCTTTGAGAAAAAGGTGACCGGTCATATCATCTTACTTGACAAACATTGGTCCAGTATCTCAGGCATGGTGAACCACGTCAAAGATCGAGGGACCACCCCGCCGTTCNGAACAGGGGAGGGTCACAAGTCCTCCTCTATAAATATGATGATATTTGATAGAGGAGGGGATCCAATTTTTCTCTCACTAAAGTTCACTCTTGAGATAGAGTAAGAAATATAATTCGGACTGAGGAGATTTACCCGGTCTAGGTCATACTTTGTGTTCTTGTTGTGTGTTTTATATTACGGGTCGAGTGTGTCCAGGTCAAACCCGGTTAACCCACCCCGCTATATTTACACCATCATTTTTGGCGCCACCCGTGGGACCGATTTTTAAAGTTTTTTCGACCAGGTCAAAACTTTACCCCCACTAAATATCCACAATCATGTCTTCGGGCAACAACAACACTGTGTCAAGCCAGGCTGCGAGTGAAAGCACTCCTGCCATCCCACTGATGATAACGAGCATGGGGACGACCTTTGCCCCGATCACCACTGTAGGATCGATTGGCATGATCCCGATCATGTCGACCCCTACTCCTACACCAACGACAACAATGTTCCCAGGCTCGATAACAACACCCGGGGGAGCATTCTCACCATACCCGTCAGCTTGGGCTCAATTTGCTACTGACCCGGCAAATGCTCAGGTTCTACAGGGCTATCAACAGGTGATGACCATGATGCAACAGGCAGGGGGCTTCATGCTATTTGCCTATCCTGGCATGATGCCACCAACCATGCCACCCTCGGTGTCGACTCCATCAACATTCGTTCCTAGAATGGTTCCTATACATCCGGTGAATTTGACGGGGACCATGAATGAGGCAGCTCCCTCAAATGTCCATGAAGTTGACGAGGCGGAACAGGAGGCAGCCCGCAGAGGGAAGGGTAAGGCTATAGCCAAACCCAGCAAGACCCGAGATTCGGCGTTCAAACGCCTAGGGGACAAAGAGGATGGACCCCGCAAGTCTGCCAAGCTACGTCTTGGTCCTGAGATGGGCCGGACTAGCGCAATGGAAAGACTTGGTGGGAGTCGTCCTGCCCAATCTCGTCGTTTTAGGGAATCTAAGACGATTCACCTAGATGAGGAGAAAGCTGAAAGCCAACCCAATGGATCGGCATATACCAGGCTCTCATACGATGAGGATGACCTGGACAAGATAGGGAGCATAGCGAGAAAGCTACGTGCCCTGGAGGAAAAGGTAGAAGAGAAAGCGGGAGCGAAGAAGCACACCCTGTCCAAATCACCCTTTTCAGCCAGGGTACATGCACAAAACTTGAGGCGGAAGGTCAAGCTGGACGTGGAGAAATTCACTGGAAAGGAGGATCCAAATGTCCACCTTGACACCTTCCATAATGCAGCGCAAATGGCCGGGTGTACTGATGCTGAAGAATGCCTACTCTTCTTCTCATCCTTGAGAGGGAGGCCAGTGGAATGGTTTAACAGCCTTCCACATGGTAAGATCGGGTCCTTTGAAAAACTTGCTGAGATTTTTCGCAAGAAGTACGAGGACAACTGCATCAAAAGGAAGAAGTTCACCTACCTTAACACGGTAGGGCAGAGGGAGAAGGAGTCCTTGACTCAGTTCTTAACTCGCTGGAGGGACGAGGTCGACAAAGTAGAAGAGATAGACGACAAGACGGCCATGTCTTTGCTGATGAATGCCTTTCGGTCGGGTGACCTCTACACTGAATTTTGTAGAAGGCCACCCTCCTCTTATCAAGAAGCTTACAATACGGCATGGGAGTACGCGGAGGCGGAGGTCCTAAACAAGAGAAAACGAGAACTGGAAGAAGGTTATATGAAGGTCAAGACCGAGAAGCCAAAGGACGACCATATGGGAGGGTCCAGGCCAAGGACCACATATGATGGGACGGTCCACCAAATTAGGAATGAGAAGAAGGGAGAATAACCCAAGCGGCCTTGGACAGAGAAGTGGTGTACCTATCACCAATCTGACTCCCACGACACGGCAGACTGCCGAAATGTCAAGGCTGTGCTCAAGGAGATGACCTTGAAAGGGGAATTGGATGAAGTATTCGTTACCGGGCTTGAGGAAGACCCATACGCGAGTACTTGAATCCACCCACATGAATATGATCATGGAAGGAAGAGAGGGTGGATAAGATGTGGTCAAGATTACTAAGCTTGCTGTAGACGGATCAGTCTTGATGTCTAGGACCTGGATCGTTGCATGGGGTGATAAAAAAAAAAGGAAAAAAAACCCTTGAGATAGGGGCCTTGATGTTGAGGTATCGCCTTGAGACAGGCTGGATCCGGAAGAGGATTCGCATCCATACTTACATGGATCCCTACCGACTTTTTGGTCGGGAAGGGTTAAAAAAGATGCCAAAAAATATATATTACCGTCTTGTATGAGCCATCCTTTGTGGATCGGAATGTCTAGGGAAGACTAGAATTTCCGAACACATAATATATGGACGTGCAAGATTGGATGAGGGCTGGTTCTCACTGGCATACCCCCATGTGGGAAGATTAGGTTTGCTAGGTCAACCTAATAGTTAGAGAATGGCACATTAAAAGACTTAAAACCTGGAAGAGGGGCCCTGGAAGAAGGGTGTTGCCTGGAAGAAGGCTGGACCTTGGAGAGGGTTCGCGATCATAGGACATGGTCAAAATCTCCAAAGATGGGTCAGGTCTTGATGTTGAGACTTGAAGTTAAAACTATTTCGAAATATTCATTCGAAATTTGATCAAGGTCGGTGTTGAAAATGACATGCAGGCCAGATGGATATAAGAAAAAGGGCATGGTCGAAAAGTGACCGGTCACTTTTTTAACGTTCTAGATTGACAGAAAAAGACGGACGGAAAATTTTAAAATTGACCGGTCAACTTTGAAAAAAGTGACCGGTCACTTTTTAATTTTCGGATTTGATGAAATCAGACAAGTTTGGAAAAACTTATTTTTGACCAGTCACATTTTGACCCGGCACCTGGACAGAAATTTGAGGCAAGACTGGTGACGTTACATGACCAAACCATTGGGATTGGACCAGGATGAAATTCAACCTAGACGTCTACTACATTTCAACCTGGAAGTAAACCGGATCAGAAGACAAATCGAGCACAAGGTGACCTGGATATTTTCAAGTCTGGAGACCAGGACATGAGATGACCTGGACGTTCTTAAAATGTTTCTTAAGGGCATGAAATGACCTGGACGTTTTCAAGACTTGCACTTGACCAGGACATAAGATGACCCGGACATTTTCAAGACTTGCACTTGACCAGGACATAAGATGACCCGAATGTTTTCAAGACTTGCACTTGACCAAGACATGAGATGACCCGGACATTTTCAAGATTTGCACTTGACCAGGACATGAGATGACCTGAACGTTTTCAAGACTTGCACTTGACCAGGACATGAGATGACCCGGATGTTTTCAAGACTTGCATTTGACCAGGACATGAAATGACCTGGACATTTTCAAGACTTGCACTTGACCAGGACATGATATAACCCGGACGTTTTCAGGACTTGCACAAAGTGCCCTGGTCGCTTTAAGGAGTTGATGAGAATAAAAGTTTAGACCAGGACGTTTCCAGGACCTACTAGACCCGGGCGTCCTTCAAAAGTTTCAACGAAGCCTACTAGACCTGGATGTTTTCAAGACCAGGGCATGAGATGACCGAGACATTTTAAAAAGAATTCCTGAGAGAGGGCCAAGCAAGAAAACAACCATGCAAGTCTAACCAGTCAACTTTAAAGGGGGACCAGGAAGGAAAATAACCATGCAAAAAATTTAACCATTCGAGAAGTTAACCAAGCACAAAGGAATGAGACCAGACCATGAAAGCCTCCTTAATTGGTGACCCTTCCACCCTTGAGACGGGCCAAAAAGAAGAGTGGCCAACCTCTTTGTCAGGTAGCTGGACTGGAACCTTGGGTGACTTAACCCCCTCACTCCGGAGGTGCTTTTGGAAGGGTGTGCAACGGGCACTTGACCGGGTACTCTAGGAGGACTAGGAGGACTTACATGGTAGAAATCTAAAAAAAAGTAGACCGGTTAATTATTTAGAGTTAACATTTGGATTTCCTAATAATTCAAAAGTGAGAGGTCAAAGAGGAAGACTTCACGATTTCAAAAGTGACAGGTCCAAGAGGAAGACTTGACGATTTCAAAAGTGAGAGGTCAAAGAGGAAGACTTCACGATTTCAAAAGTGACAGGTCCAAGAGGAAGACTTGACAATTTCAAAAGTGAGAGGTTAAAGAGGAAGACTTGACGATTTCAAAAGTGACAGGTGAAAGAGGAAGACTTGATGGTTTCAAAAGTGGCAGGTCCGAGAGGAAGGCATGATAATCTCAAAAGTGACAGGTCTGAGAGGAGGACTTTATGATTACAAAAGTGACAGGTCCAAGAGGAAGGCTTGATAATTTCAAAAGTGACATGTCTGATGATCTCCAAAGTGCCAGGTCTGATGATCTCCAAAGTGCCAGGTCTGACGATCTCCAAAATGCCAGGTCTGATGAACCCCAAAGCGCCAAATCTGATGAACTCCAAAGTGATACGTGTGATGATCCGCAAAGTGCCAGGTCTGAGGAGCCCTAAAGTGCCAGGTTAGAAGAAATAAATGATACCCAAAACCTCATTTTCGGTCAAAGGAAAGGCTTGATTATTTCAAGAAAGGATAGATCAAGAGAAAGGCTGGATTATTTCAAAGAAGGACAGGTCATGAGAATGACTTGATGATTTCAAAGAAAGACAGGTCATGTGAATGACTTGATGATTTTCAAAGAAGAACAGGTCATGAGAATGACTTGATGATTTCAAAGAAGGACAGGTCATGGTAATGACTTGATGATTTCAAAGAGGACAGGTCATGGGAATGACTTGATGATTTCAAAGAAAGACAGGTCATGAGAATGACTTGATGGTTTCAAAAGGACAGGTCATGTGAGGGACTTGGTGATTCAAAAGGACAGGTCATGAGAGAGACCTGGTGATTCAAAAGGACAGGTCATGAGAGAAGACTTGTTGAATTCAAAGGTGATGGGTTAACATAAGTATACTTCCCGCCCTTGATGACTTCCTCACAAAGACGATAAGTGGAGGACTTCTTGATGGGTATATCCCTATACCCGACCCGGACAACCGAAAGGGACAGGTCAAAATATGACCGGTCACTTTTATCAATCACCAAATGAGGTTAACTCTTCGATTGGGACGGGTCAAAAGTTGACCGGTCACTTCCACTAAAAAAGTGACCGGTCACATTTTGGGCGATAGCCAAAATATCACCTAATGTTGTGAAGAATTCAAGAAGACCAAAGAGACGGGTTGAGCTCAAGAAATGACCGGTCAACCTTTGAGAAAAAGGTGACCG